GTTGGGAAAATTGTATCTATTATTTCGGAAAGGGGGTTTATTGTTAGGTACATTTCTAGAAGTTGCAATTGGGAGGCAGATTCTCTGGCTAAACAAGGGATTGGGTGATGTTTTGTGTGTGCTCTGCCTCTATGTAGTTGGTGCTGGGAGTCTGTTTTTAGGAGGGTGTGTGTTACGTGTTTCGTTATGGTCTTTGTATGAGTTTTGTTCTATTAATAAAACGAGGCACTCTTTTCCCCCTTCCGTTGATTATGGAACACCGTTTTGGTGGTCCGTTAATCATGAGGGGGGTTTTTAATGAGACCTCACATTCCTATCAAAAAAAAGGCTGTGACAGCCTACAAAATATTTTCTGTTAATACTTAATTTATCTTGTCACTCGTGTTTTCTTTTCTTTTTTTGAAGGGAGCGAAAGTCATTCTTGGGGGTAAAAGGCATAGCCTTGGAATGACTTTCTATGAGCCCACAATTGTTACTGATGTCAGGAGTGATATGCTATTAGCAAGGTACGTCCTCAAAAACATTTATTTCTGATATAAAATATGTATTTTGATGGTTGATAAAATGCATCTTCTATTCTCTCAGTATTTTACTTTGGTACAATTGTTTTTTTATTTTGCACATCAGTCCTGATGGAGGATATTAGGATCTTGAATATGGCTTTTTATTGGCATGAGTGGTGTCCTTGTCATTTCTATTTAAGTACTAGAGTTTAATGCATTGCAGAAGTGGTGAAGTGTTTAAAATCAGTACATTGAGTTACTAGGTCATCATGTACGTTGAGTGTTAAATATGCAGTTTTTTAAACATTAAGTTAAAGTAAATTGAGATGTGATTTTGTTTGTATTACCTCAGCGAGGAAGTATTTGGACCAGTGGCACCACTTTTGCGTTTCAAAACCGAGGAAGAAGCCATTCAAATGGCAAACAACACTAAAGCAGGTTCATTTATCGAGATACAGTTGTATACTAATTAATAAACTACTCCATTTTCTTTTTAAAGTCATTATTATTATTTCTTTTAGTGAGTCTTCACAACCGTCTGTCTAGCAAACCTGATCAATCAGATGTCAGTAATATACTCGTTCAAAATTTAGCATGTATCGTCTTGTCTGAAAACATTATACAGTTTATTTTATTAGAACACATGCTTTCTTGCACATATCAGGTTTAGCCGCTTACGTATTCACAAAGAATGTTCAACGAACATGGCGTGTCTCAGAAGCTCTCGAATACGGACTTGTTGGTGTTAATGAAGGAATCATTTCAAATGAGGTGGGGGTCATATTTGCATCTTTTAAACATATTAAGACATGTAACCTGTTGCAGTCATGATGTAAATTATTGTTTGTTACAATTCAGGTGGCACCATTTGGTGGCGTAAAACAGTCCGGCCTTGGACGAGAAGGTTCAAAGTATGGGTTAGATGAATATCTTGAAGTGAGTGCAATATCTAAAGTGTCTCACCTTAATGCATGCACGCACGCACACGCACATATATTTGTATATTTATGCCCACCGGTATATTCCGGTGTTGTTTTTATTTGCTTCTTGGTTGCTTGATATAGCTGATGTTTGATGTTTAATGCATAGGTCAAATATGTGTGCTTGGGAGATATGAACAGAACTTGAAGAAGGGAAAGGTAATCTGAAAAAAAAACAAATAAAATATTTGAAAGAGGAAATATCTGATGGCTGTTAAGTGGAATGGAGGGATTGATGTTGTTGAGTGTGCAGCTGTGTAAATTCCTGGCAATTGATGGCTGTTCCAGGCGATTTTGTATAAATAAATGTGAACAAACTGATAAGCATAAATCCCGGTGGTGGTTTTGTTTTCATTTAGTTAAAGCTTAGTAAATAAATGCCAAATGATTTGTATGTTTCTCATCGATTTCCAAAAGCACATATAGGGAGGGATCTCCATATTATAATTATATTTGTCCTAAAACTCGGGTAGGATTTTTAATTTTATATATATTACTATTTCCTTAAAGCTCGGTAAATAAAATTCATTAGTTAAAGTAGGATTGTTGGATGAGTAAATTGAGATTAATAGTATAAACTTGGATGATATTCATTGGGAAAAACTAAGGAGTTAATCGCGACCATCAATTTTTCTTCATACAACAGTTCAAAATCTGTGTGTGTAAGTGAATTTTAACTCATTTTACGTTGATTTAGCATTATAGATGAATGAAATTGATGGCTAAAATTATTCACGTATTTCCTCATAAAAATTTCTCATTTTCAACATTTAGTCGGGCAAAATATTTTCCTACCAACAATCTTCTTAACGCTCCGATTGGTAACAACAGCTCGTATGCCTGGAAGGGCATTTGTAAGGTTACAAACCTTCTCTGGGGCACTTTACCGGTGATTAGGTATAGATAGTACCTTAAATTTAATCCAGTTGTTGTGCCTTTTCACAGCTTGCGTGGTTGCGATTACACGCATGCAGGGTTACCAGCTTTGGAATGAAACCAAGGTCCGTGCAGTCTTCAATACCAACGATGCCGAGTCCATCCTTTCAACTTCTATAGCACCGTGTTGAAGAAACATTGATATGGGGTAACCATGATTGGGGTTGTTATTCGATACGATCAGGTTATTGGTGGCTCCAACGTTCACATCATTCTTCGAAAGTTTGGAAACTGATTGCCGAGTTATATGTTTTGCCTGGCGAGTTGCGCATGGAGGGCCCCCTGTGGGCTGTCGACTACGAGCAGTGGTGCTTGGTGATGGTCTGTGCACCATGTGTCAAACGAACGAGGAAACGACTGTGCATGCATTGCGTGACTGCCGGTATGCTCATGAAACGTTAACAGTTGCAGGTCTAAATGGGCCAGCTTTCTTTTGTCAAACAGGGGCTCCTTTACCGTGGTTAGAATCGGTATGCATTGAGGGACTCATTTTGATGGACGGGGTTTAACCCTCGTCTCTTCCGGGCAGGTACGTCCAACACCAACTGATGAGAGGTGGCATCCCCCTGCTTAAGGCTTTATCAAAATAAACACCGACGGCGATTGGAGTGATTGCTCGGGATTCTTCCGGAGGGTTCTGGACGGTCTTGTTTCGGCTTCTCTCGGCTGTGGTGAAGCAGGTCTTATCGAGATTCATGCTTTTATCGTCGAACTTCATCTTGCGCGGGATAGTGCTTGAAACAGACGCCGCTTTTCTCGTTAACAAGGTCAACCAAACCGAAGCTGATATTTTCACCTTAGGCTTTCATCTCCACGATGCTCGAGCCATTTTAGTTGACAATAAGGGTTATGTTGTTCAATTTACTCCTCGTTCCTGTAATAAGGCGGCTCGTTGGTTAGCTTATTGGGCACTTCGTTCAGGGAATTCAATGTATTTTTATTCTGTTTTCCCGAAATAATTACAACGGATGTATTAAACGATAATTTTCTAATGTAATACAATGTTTAGGGTACTTTTTTTTTCCTTCTAGGATTTAGAGAGATTTTTAATGAGACTCGCATTTTAAAAAAACTCAATCATCAATATTCATTCATTTAATAATAAAAATAATATAAAATTTAAAAAATACATTATATAATCAAATCTTTTCTTATATACACATATATATCCAATTACATCTAGCGTAAAATTAAAAAGTTTTACACTCTTTCAGAATGATTGGACGAGAAAAAAAATCAAAAACTGAGATTAAATCCTTGTTTTTTTTCTTTCTAATAAATATATTTCATTTTTACTATTAATCTCAGCCTTTGATTTTCTCTCATCCAATAATCTTAAAATGACATAGAACTTTTTAGTTTTACACTATGCAATTGTATCCTAACCCATATATATATATATATTAAACGAGTAATTGAAGAGATACGAGTCACCAATTTAATTAATTAAAAATAAAATGTATACCCATTGGCATGGCCACCTTATATGTCTTGTTCCTTGTTGGCCGTCCAAAGGGGAAAGTAGGCAAAGACAACAACATTAAGTTAATTAGGGAAGTTTAATGTTTGGATTTTGGACCTACCTTTGTTGAGGTAACCATTTTGCTCGTCTTCAAGGCCGGCAATTTGTTGTCAACTTTTTTATGCTATATTTTTAATATTTTATTTATTAGTAGATTAACATAGATAAAATATTATAAGCTTTAATCTAATTTTCTCCCTTCGTAATGTAAATTTTAAATTCTTATTTTAAAATTTAATGTCTCATCTTATTAAATTAATTAATATTTTTCTTTTTATTTTCTGTACTGTCTTATTAGTTAATACATTATGTATTTAATGCAAACAACAAAATTCAATGCTTGTTATTATCCCCACCTCTGTCCCTTTGTCTCATCCTCTACCCATTTCCCTAGGATTCCTTAATTTTTATATTTATAGTACATTCTTCTCTAAAATACAACAAAAAATAAATCTATTCCCTACACATGAACAGTGAATTTGAATATTTTTATTTTTATCAACACTATATTGCATATATATATATATATGCCCACTAACCGTTCCTAAAAAAATAATGTTAAATTTATTTTTAGTAAAAATAATATTAATATATCTTGCAAATTAATGTTGTCTATAGCGCACGAACTGACCTAAGTGATAAAAGAATTGTTATTTTATGAGGTTTCGGGTTTGAGCATTAAAAGTGTCAAGAATGAGTGTTCAATCTCATATGATTTGAAGTTATCTTTAAATAAATATTATCTTATACTTACCTGTATTAACGAAAAAATAATGTTGTCCATAGCAAAAGCAAGTTTGTAGTCGATTAATGTAAAATTGCATGTATCATCACAACAAGCTTCTACCAAATTTCCATTACTTTCCTTACAAATTCATTTAATTAGTTCTGAAAGTGTAATTGTCACTTTACTATTCGATAGGGCACCCAAAAGTGTTTTCCATGATTTTCCTCATTTCACACTTAAAATAAGTTTTATATTTCTTAATATCAGCCCCATAGTGTATATATATATATATAAGGAGAGTAGGCTGATTTAGGTCTGTGCTCACTATTCACTCCTCCCATTTCGGTTTCCTCCTTAGTACCTTCAAGTAAATAATGGAAGGCTTCAATGGGTGGTTGTATGAAAGCTTTAACCATGATTTCGCCATTCGAAGGTTTTGCTCGGAACGAGTGGAGCTCGAGCAAGTTGAGTTGGAAGAAGCCATGAATTATGACATTGATTCATGTTGTCCAGATGATGAAACCACCACCCCTCACTTGGCTGCTTCTGAGGTCCAAGACTTTGTTGATAGTTTCTTCAACATGGATAACAATGTCGATGTTGATAACGATGGGGACGGTAAAGATGATCATCATAACTTTGAGAAGAAGGACAATTCCGATCGTTTTCGGGATGAAATCGAGACATTTTCGATCGTGAACGATGATTTGATGATCGAAGGAGATGAGTTGGAGAGAAGTGATTCGTGTGAAGATTTGGGATCACATGGAATTGTGCCTAGTATAGTGGAGGCGAGCCATGGGGTAGACCAAGGGCTTCACCTGGTGCATTTGTTGCTAGCATGCGCCGAGGCGGTCAGCTGCCGTGACTTACACCTTGCAACCTCTATGCTCACTCAAATCTGTGCTTCGGCTACTCCCTTGGGTGATTCACTGCAAAGGGTTTCCTATTGCTTCGCTGCAGGATTAAAAGCTAGACTATCACTTCTTCAAAACGTCAATGGGAATGGCACGATCACGAATTGTGTCGTCAATGTGCCATCGATGGCTAGGGAGGAGAAATCCGAGGCTTTTCATCTGCTTTACCAGATGACTCCTTACATTGCATTCGGTTTCATGGCTGCAAATGAGGCAATATGTCAAGCCGCACAAGGGAAAGTTTCCTTGCACGTTATTGATCTAGGAATGGAACATACACTTCAATGGCCTTCCCTGATAAGAACACTAGCATCGAGGCCCGAAGGTCCCCCGACTCTCCGAATCACGTCATTAACCAGCAATGAACATCTCGTAGAGCTTGAAGCCGGCATAAAGTCCCTCGTCGAGGATGCTAGCTCACTAGGTATAACGATGGAGTTCCATGTTATAACAGAGCCAGTTACACCATCTCTTTTGACCACAGATAATCTCAACTTAAGAGAAGGGGAATCATTATACATCAACAGCGTTATGCACTTGCACAAATATGTCAAAGAGAGTAGAGGATCACTCAAAGCAATCCTCCAAGCAATCAAGAAACTAAGCCCGGCTCTGTTGACCGTGGTGGAACAAGATGCGAACCACAACGGACCATTCTTTCTCGGGAGGTTCCTCGAGTCCCTTCATTACTATTCAGCCATTTTCGATTCACTAGAAGCGAGTCTACCCAGACATAGTCCTCAAAGGATGAAGATAGAGAGGCTTCACTTCGCCGAGGAAATCCATAACATAGTAGCTTATGAAGGGTCAGACCGGATCGAAAGGCACGAAAGAGCAGATCAATGGCGAAGACAGTTAGGCAGAGCCGGGTTTCATGTGATGGGGTTGAAGTGTTTGAGTCAAGCAAGGATGATGCTTTCGGTTTACAGCTGCGACGGTTACACATTGGGCAGTGAGAAAGGATGCCTCCTCCTTGGGTGGAAAGGCAGGCCTTTGATGCTGGCATCTGCCTGGCAACTGCACAATGCTTCGTCATAGTAACGACGGAACATATCGTCTCGATCAAAGCCATTAGATCATTGATTCGGCAACGACATTTATTGAACTAAACTTAGAAATAAGATATGTTCTTAGGGACATTCAGAATATAGCCCCAAAGGAACTCTGGTTTGATTACCAGCCTTGCAAAGCTCCTTGGGTGGCTACTCTATATATATTATTAAATGCACTTTCTACCTTTTAAATGTTAAGTACCTTTAAGTCAAATTATTTTAATTATATTTGAGTTTCAAAAAGGAAATGTAAATTGTGATGAACTTGTAGAGAAGTTCAAAAAGGAAGAAGATATAAGTGTTTCCCCCCCCCCAAGTACAGTGGTACACTAAATCACAATATCTGTTCAATAACATTATTATTCCTTTATAAGAGAAGCCTCCCATTAAAAAACAATTAGGAAGCCCTGATCCTCCTTTCCCAAGTGATTGTACAATTAAATATACTACTCAAACGTGTGCACAATTGAATGGATACCTAATAAATCATTATCATTTTGATGCCCTGTGACCCTTGCTTTGTTGTGACATTGTACGCAATCGACTGGCTATTTCTGTGAACGATGGCCTGGCTGCAGGGTTGGGGGACCAACACTGTTCCATCAATTTTCTCCATTCACGATCACAAAAGCTTGGAATCGTCGGTCTCAGTGTGTTACTCACAATGCCTCCTGTATGCCGAAATAACTTTTAGATCATAAAGAGAGAATGACTCAAAGCACGGTATCAATGCAAATGGAGAAAAATGCATATAACCATCTTATAGGCAACCGAGCATATCTATGTTGGGAATCAGCATGAACATATACTTTCCATGTCATTTTCGTGGTTCATAAAACAGACCAACCTTAAAAGGAGGGAAGTAATAAAACTACTTCCATGCCATATTTTGGGTACGAAACAAAATTTCCAGCCCAATGCATAGAAAAAACAGGTTGTTGTTTTAAGAAGAAAAGTACTCAAGGCACACCTATAATTGCACCATAGTGCATATTCGCATAAGGCTCTTCCCCAGTGAGAATCTCCCATAGAACAATACCAAAGGAGAACACATCAACCTGCAGATCAACAAATAAATGTAAACAACAGTACTAAAAAATGACATTATGTCACTAGCTGTTTATATGGTACTGAAACTGCGGAAATAGAGAAGGGAAAAAAGGTTGACTGTTATTAACTACCACTTATAAATTCAGACTCAACAATTGCTTCTCCTAAACTACTACGAATGTCATCCAGCTTTGAGTTCCATTTCATTTAAAAAAGCCATGGTAACTAGAGTAGTTTGATGTGCTATGGTTTAGCTATGAACAGATGCTGTATTAAGACATACCACAAGCAAAAGCTGTTCATTTTAATGATAAATATATAGATGCAGATAAACATTTTGCAAGAGAGTACATCTTTCATGAAATGCTCTCCTATAATCTGCAAAATTCAGCTCTAACTGCTTCTTTCTGATCCACCATAGAGCCAATTAAGCAGTAGCAGCCATTCGTACCATCATTATCTTAATTTCCCATTACACAGAAGCTGCTATAGATTGAATAGCAGCAATTCAGAATACATACTTATCACTACAATGGTTTCTTAAATGACTAATGAGAATAATCAATTAAAGAAAGACTTCTTTCCATTGAGTGTAATCATTATGAGTATTAGATCACAATAATCATGTAAAACCTTTCAGAGATCCGAGGGAAGAATCATAAAGAGAAAATACCTTATTGTGCCAGTTCAAGTTAATTTCATGAAAGACATTTTACCTTTTCTGAAACCTTATTGCTGCCACCATGTAGGAGCTCTGGAGCCATCCATGGTAGGGTCCCCCGAACACCACCAGAAACTAAGGTGTTACGTTTGATTTTAGACAGTCCAAAATCACCAACCTGAGAAAGGAAGATTGTTAGAGATGTAATAATTAGCACAACATTTTAACCATACTAATTTGGGCAGGACAGCGAGGTAACCTTGCAAATAGGTCGTGAAGGATCTTTCAAGTTAACAAGCAAATTGTCACATTTCAGATCAAAATGCACAATATTTTTTGAATGTAAATATTCCATCCCAAATGCTGCATCCATAGCAATTATGAGCTTCTTTCGACGATCAAGCAACCTGGAAATTTAGATTAGGTATAACAATAAGCAGGAGATATTTGTAAAGTAACAACAGGCAGTTATGAAATTCTCATAAATATCAACCCCCCAAAAAAAATATAATAATAAATAAATAAGTAAAACAAACTATTACATAACAAAGTGAAAAAAAAATTCACCTATCCTTGCGAAGTAAAACATGCCTAAGGGAACCATCAACCATGAACTCTGTAACAGTAGCCATTGTTCCTCCAGGACCATCTTGCACCACACCATAAAATGCCACCATATTTGGATGGTGAAGCTTTGAAAGAATGTCAGCTTCCCGCCAAAATTCAATGGTCTGAGGACATAAGTGTAGATCTTTAAGTAAAGCATTAAGTATGAATAATACCAGAGAGAGAATGGCAGTAGCACACATGCAATAACTAGTTAGATAATGATGATTATGATAATAGCTATAATAAAGAGAAGAAATCATTGCCAACAGCCATGTGGTATAGTGACCAGATATCAAACCCTAGCAACCCCAACTATAAAAAAAAAGGTTTTGTTTGGACCCCCTTCAGTAGAAAAGGTAAAATTATATATTTTTAGTTTGTTAAACTTGGACCAACAGGCTTTTCAAACAATGGCAGTAGCAAAACATGCAATAACTGGGATATATAATGATGGTTATGATAATAGTTATAATAACGAGAAGAAATCATTGCCAGCAGCAATGTAGTCTATTGACCAGATATCAAACCCTGGCAACCCCGAGAGCGAGTGTGTGTATATAAGGTCTATTTGGAACCCCCACCCAGTAGAGAAGGTAAAAATATCCATATTTTTTTAGTTTGTTAGACTTCCTTTTAAGATCAAGAGGCTTTCAAACACCGGTTTCATGAAACAAAATGAGAAAATGTATTATATGCATAAAAATATTAATTTGTGTAAGCCAAATTACCAATCTTTCTTGCTCAGATGATCGACCTGTGAAGCAGCTCTTTTTTATTCTCTTGATGGCAACATCTGATCCCCTCCAATTGCCATGATATACAGTTCCAAATGTACCAGAGCCCAGCTCCCTCAACTCTTCAAGATCTTCATTCTTTATGAGCTATAACATCAATCCAGGACAAACAAGTAAGCATCTACATTATAGAAATTGTTTCAGAAAGTATGTGGGGGACTGTCAAAATATGTTGAGGCCCAAAATATAACAAACAAGCAAGAAGAGAGATACATTTTTTTGTTTCAGTTTGTATGTACACGGAAGTTTTCAAAAACAAAACAAATGTCAGAAACACATCCCTGCAGCTTCAAAGCATTTTATGGCCAGTAAATACTCCAAAAAGCTTATCACCATTGCATTTGAGTCAACAAATTAAGTTCATAATAAGAAACAAAGACTGAATCTAAACATATAAAGAGGAACAAAATTTAAATTAGCACTACAAAAGAAAAAGAATCTAAAAACATATATTTCAATGCCTCTGTAAATTTAAGAAACCATTCAACAGCTCGCAACTAGCGTTAGCTATTGTTCTCCTAGAACTTTTATCAAGCAAAATTAGAGTCATTAGAATCGAATTTTGAACTTTCTTAGATGGAGAATGACAAAAATAAATAGCTTCAACAAGGATTAGAATACATGTCTAGAATGAGCTAAACGCTCGACATAAACATAGATTGTCTCTTGAATCTGGGCTTTTATTATTTTATTTTGTGAAGCACGAGTGATGAGTAAAAAAGAAAGCTAATTTCTCCAACGAAAGCGATTCAGACCTTTTCGGGTAAGGCACATTTGATCAGGCATGTGTTTGGCGTGCTTAAACATGCCTTTTTGCAAGGCCATAAGTGCAGAAGAAAGTCCGCTAGATTGAAGCCTTTCTAGTTCTTTTAAGTTTTTTTTTTATTAAATGTACCTTTATTAGCAAGAACAAGGATAATGTCAAACTTATTACTTTCAAAATTTTGAGTATTCAACAACAAACGAGGGATCAAAGGAAATCATACACATTGGCAGACGAAAAAAAAATTGCATGTTTTGTAGGATAAATTGTACCGCTCTTTAAAGTTCACTATCAAAATATATATCTTAAGGTCATTTCATATACATAGAAGGTCATTTTATATACATAGACAAACACAAACACAAAAACATGCACATGCACATCTTTATTCACTCGGGCAAGCGCCTATTGTGTGCCTCGCCCTTTTGAAAACACACTCAAGTATCAGCCTCTTATCTCTAAAAAATTACAGTGATCTTATTGAATTTGTAGTTAAGCTTCCAGTATTCAGTTTCACATACATAAATAAATACTTGGGAAGTAGTGATAAAGATGAAAAGTTTGCACATGCCAAAAGGCAGAAGGAGATGCAACATAAATTCCAGAACAAAATTTGAAGTTTCCAATAAATAATTGTTTATTGCAAGTATCCAAACAGTGTACCACTCCATTTCATATGCTCCAAAAGCATAAGAAAAGCAGGAGAATCTGTGATAAAGGTAGCACACCTGCAAGGTATCGATATCAAAATCTCCTAGAGAAGGATCCAAAGGAGGTAGGCCAACGTTCCTCTTTTCCGACTTCGGCTTCTAGAAAAACACATGCAGTCATATTCTGTTAGCAGATGTCTTTTAAGAAAACAAGGTGAACAAAATCAATTAATCATTGAAATCAATTACCTCATATTCCGGCTCAAGTGTTCTTAGGTTTTCTATCATGGCATCAAACTGCATACTTTCACTGATTTGCACTTGGGGTTGACCATCCTTCAGGTTGTTTTCACCAAAATTTTTATCAGCATCAGCTTGGCTCAAAGGAACTACACCCTGTGGGGTAAACTGATCTGATATATGATCTCCGTTGATGAGGGAACCATCTTTTTCTTCAAAATCTTGCGCCAACTTCTGAAAATATGACCAGCGCTTTGGCTCATGGTTTTCCACGTTCAAGCTCAAGCCAGCTCCATCTGTTTGCAGTGGGCCAACACCAGACAAC